GTGAAGTGTCTTACTGGCTACTTGACCTTGGACAAATCACTTTATCTTTTTGAGCCTCAGTGTCCTCATCTGGAACATGGGGCTAATAACGGCATCTACAGGGCACTCACTGGACGCTGGTCAGGATGCACTGAGATTATATATGTAAAACCCATAGCCTATTGCTTGGTACTTGTCTATATTTGGAAAATGTGATCAGCCACCAGGCCTTAATCCACAGAGGTGACTAATGATGGATATTTAAGTGGCATAATGAGCAGCATATTTTGGAGGTAGGAAGAGAAAGGACCCTCAAATCCCATTAAGTGGAAAGCCGCCTACAGCATCACATGCAGGCTAGTCCTATTCTCAGCCTCTTATGAACAAATCCAAACCAATAAAAATAAATAATAACTTTATTGAAGACTTACATTTATAGTGAGTGTTCACATGCTTGTCTCACTTAACAGCCTTGTGGGGTGAGGGCTACAGTGATCCCCATTTCATAAAGGAGGAGAATTGAGGTTCAGGGAGGTGAAGTGACCTGTCCCCAAGGCATCCACAGGTCTGTGTGACACCAAGTGAGTCCCCTTCACCACCACAGCCTGAGCATCCTACAGCAGTCAAAGTAAGGCCAGATCAGCCTGACACTCAGCACTCCTGTTCAGGACGTGAGTGGCAGCTCTGGGAACAGTGCAAGTACCTGGAGAAAGCATGAGCAGAAATAGTAAGGCTTAGAAGGGAACTTAGAAGAGGAAAGAGAGAGAGAAAATCAGAACTTTCAGTCTGAGCCCAAGAGGCCCAGACACTTGGAAGCTTCCTTAAGTTGCCCAAGCCTCACCTGCGCCCAGTGCAAGTTCCCTCTTGATCCCAGCAGCCCTAAGCAGTCACACCGCACCTGCTTAAACCCTTCAGGATGCGGAGCTCATCACCTCTCATGGCAGCCCATTTACCAGTGGACAGTACCAATTGTGAGGAAGTGGCATTGCCAGGAGGAGTATCCATGAGAATAATAGTACTAGAAAGTGACTTGGCGATTGATAAACATGAATCTTAAGAGCCTCAAAAGCATGTGTGCCTTTTGCACCAATGTTGCTCCTGGAATTTTCCTGAAGTAAAAAGATATGGACAATGCTGTCTGCACAGGAATGTTTACTACAGCAACCTTCACCACGCTGCAATAATTAAAAACACCGTAAATGTCCATTAATGGCCCTTGTCATCAATGCCATTAACAGAATTGTTAAATTAGTTTTGGTAAGCCTCTTAGGGCACTTTGCTGTGAGGTCCCCCCTATATGAACTGGATAAGAATTAGATCTTTGGATCAGCTAGACTCAGTTCCCCAACTCACTTGAGTTTGTCCCTGGCGGAAGTCACATCTCATCTTGAACTCTGGTTTCCCATCTTTTAACAGGGTTAAGGTTTCATGAATTTCTCAGGGTAGTTGTGAAGATGAAGCAAAGAAATTCACTCAGGTGGATGCCAGATGTCTTGTATACAGGAACACAGAATTGCTTAGTGGTCACAGGAAGCACACTCAGGTGACTGGTTACACCTGAGCCACAGTAAGGACTACAGGAGATCTCATGACCCATATAGGGTGGATCAAAGGCTGAGCATTGGGGCAATGTTGTCACAACATGGGGGCCTGCCTAGTGCTGACTGGGCCATCCCTGAGCCCAGCCTGGGTGCTCTCTGCCCAGGACCCCCATTCTCTCAGCCTGGCCAGCTTCCTTGAATGGGGGGACCTTAAAAGCTGACTGTGACAGGGTAGAACCTATTTCGATATACACATACATTGTGAAATGATGATCACAATCAAGCTAACTTAGTTACATATTCATCACCTGATATAGTTACCATTTTCGGTATGTGGTGAGAATACTTAAGATCAAGTCTCTTAGCAAATTTCAAATATACAATGCAGTGTAGTTAACTACAGGTACCACGCTGTACGTCCTATCTCCAGAATTTATTCATTTTGTGTAACTGAAACTTTGTACCCTTTGACCAATATTTCACCATTTCTTCCTCCCTGCAGCCTTTGGCAGCCACCGTCCTATACTCAGCTTCCATGAGTTTGACTATTTTAGGTTCCACATATATGTGAAACCACATAGCGTTTGCCTTTCTGTGTCTGGCTCATGTCACTTAACATAATGTCCTCTAGGTTCATCTGTGTCGCAAATGGCAGAATCCTTCTTTTTAAGGCTGAATAAAATTCCACTGCGTATACGTATCACACATGTTCTTTATTCATTCATCCATCAGTGGGCACTTAGGTCGTTTCTATACTTTGGCTACTGCGAATGATGCTTCAATGAACAGGGAAGGGCAGATTATCTCTTCCAGATCCTGATTTCATTTCCTTTGGATGTACATCCAGAAGTGGAAGCACCGGATCACATGGTAGTTCTATTCTTAATCTTCTAAGGAACCTCCATCCTGTTTTCCAGAATGGCTGCACCAGTTTACACTCCCACCAATTGAGCGTGAGGATTCCCTTTTTTATCACATCCTAGCCAACACTCCTTATTTTTCCTTATTTATTATTATTTTTTGTAATAGCCATACTAATAGGTGTGAGGTGGCATCTTGAGATTAT